ACACCCAACGAAATAAGTTTAAAAAAACAAAATCAATATAATTTTCTAAAACTATCTTTATGCGAGTTTTTTAAAGAAGCTGTTAATAAATATCATGTTGTTAAAACAGAACAGATTCATTTTGCTTAATATAATCCGGCTATCGCATATCATTAATTTCAATCACATCAGAATTATTACTGTGCACATCACTGCTCTCAATGTGACGAGGTCATAACAATTTTTCTCTGTTTTCTCAAAATTCAAATGAATAATTCGTTACATCAGATTAGGGATGTACCGAGCTCGAGCCGCTCAGTCTCGGTCAGGGCTCAGCCTCGGTCAGTCTCAGTCCTCTGGATTTCAGTTTTTTTCGATTTGTCTTGTATTGTTCTTTTTGTCGGATGTCAATGGTTAAAAGATCTTTGATTTTGATGACGTTAGTTTTGTTGAATTTGCTTTATAAAATCCAATTTTGAGGAGAAATCAATATTTGTTCATTAAAATGATTCGAACAATGTAGAAAAGTGCTTCAAGGATGCAAAGCGAAAAGAAGATAGACACAATGGCAGTCTCTCCAAGACCCGAGACTGACCGAGACCGAGCCCTAATCGAGACCGTGACTGATCGAGCCCGAGCCCTGATCGAGATGGAGACTGTCTCGCCCGAGAGTCTCGGTCTTGTCTCGGGCTCGGTACATCCCTACATCAGATCATTTCTATCGGATAAATAATACTATACATAAGATGACATGAATGTGTGTAATTTAACAGGAAATTATCAATTATTGGAAAAAAAGTAAAACTACATCGTTTATCAGTTTGAATTATATAATAGAACTTTAAATTGTTCTTATATTTTTGATTATTTTTTGTCTTTGACTGATTCGGTTTGTTTTTTTTCTTGTGATATATTTATTGCTTGCTAGTTCTTTGTATATTTTGTGCACATTTTTCGAATAAATGAAATAAATAACTTTTATATAACTTACAAAACGCAAACCTTTTTAAAGCATCAGAGTAGTAGACTCGTTAACACTCATAGTAGTTCGTCCCTTCAACAATATTTGCCTGTCCTCCTGACAACTGAATTTGCCCGTCCGAAGTGAAAAACCTGGATAAAACACTGAATTCGACTTAGAGCTATTATTTTGAAATTTTTTTATTTTTCCTATAAAACAACATTTTTTACTATTTTGTTATCAGTCCTGTGTTAACATATGTGATTCTTCTTGTACATACATAAATGCGAGTCTTTTCAATCAAATAGAAAATGAATTCTGTCTCTATTTTAATACTTTTATTCTACACAAAACAATTTATTTTACATAAGCATTGATCATAATCAATATTTATACATTTGGAAAATAGTCTTTTGCATATTCAGGAAGTCGACGACCATTGAGACATAAAGAACGGAGTTTTACACAATTGATTCGTGTTGCATCTCTTGTAAAATTGTATGTCACTCTTTTCAGTTGTTCAAGATGAATGTTAAGATGAACGGCATTATCTGGTAAACATATTTTCGTATGAATTAGAAATTCTTCAATATAATCATCATGAGCATTGTAAAATGTGATACTAGTAAGATTTGGATATTTAATAATCGAAAAATTTTCATTGTCATTCTTTGATTCTTTGCATAATTTATTATTTTGTGGTTCGAAATTTTTTATAGACAATACTTTAATAAATGGAAATGATTGAGCTATTCGAAGAAAAAATTCATGTTCAAAAGGATGCTCATCCTCTAATGTTATTTCACGAACACATTTAAATAATCCACCGGGAAAATTATTTGTTACAATATTATAATATTTTAATTGATCAGGATACAAATAGACATGACAAAAATTCCATTGTGTTTCTTGGAAATAATCAACATAAGAAATAACTTCATTGTCTTTAAAATGTCTGAATGTATGTTGGATATCTTCTTTTGATGGTAAATAAATTGGATTTCGAGAAATGCCTGAACAAATATAAAATTCGAATCTCTTTAATAGTGGCATATGATTAATAATATTCTGCTTCAATTCATTTCCATTAATAAATGTATTTTTGACACAAACAATAAGATTCAAACTGAGTTTTTCTAAATTTGACATTCGTTGTAGATGTTGTACAATTAATTCATCATAATCATCCGTCGGCATTTCAGAATGTAACGAAAAACATCTTAAATTGGGTAATTTATCCTATAAAAATTGTATAATGAATTTGTTCTAAAAATTCAAATATTAACTGAAATAATCTACCTGATTATTGTTTGTTAAATCCGAAGAGGAAATGTACTTAATATCAACATGAAATGTGTGAAGTTTATTGAAACGTCCATCAAGTATATAAAGACAGTCGATGAATCTCAACAAACTGATATGCAATTCTAACAGAGTTGAAGAGTTAATAGTTGGAGGTGGATTGTGAAATAATAATCGTTGATACCAAATTAAAGACGGACAAAAATTTAAATATTGCAAATTGGAGCACATGGTAAAAATATGTGTGAATATACGTGTAGTCACAATATTTACATCGTCTGTTGGACCTATTGTTTCATATTTGGTAACATCGATTACAAGCTCTAAGATTTGATTTTTGTCTATAGAAGTTAAGTCTAAAAAGAAGTCAATGAAACATATGTTTATCAAGTTTTATATTGATCATTAAATTGATGTATGCTCTTTCTATTTAACAATTCTATAATATATGTGTGATATTTTTCTTTCAAATTCTTTAATAAATTATATTGTATTATCGAGATTGTATTTTATTTCAGTCATATATTATTCTCTACAATTTCTTCTTTCAAGATCAATGTTTAAAATTTCAATTAAAGACACTAGAGAACTTTATTCAAATATTGATTTAATTATCAGAAGGTCCTTGTATTGTTTTTCTATTACTAATTTTCTTCGAGTTAATATTCATCGGTTATTGTCAGTATAGTACAGAAATATTTTATAAAAAGATCTGTAATGATCTAAATTTACTTATATAAATTAGATATTCAAAATTCATTTTGATTCTTGTACATTCTTCATTAACTATAATTATTGAAAGAATCGAAGAAAATGGCTTACCAGTAAAGAGAGATAAAGCTGTTTCTACGTCCATATCAAATAAACCAAGTCCATATAAAATCGGATAATTTGTAGCAAGAAGAATACGTTTCATAGATGATGATTCAAGATTAAGCCATTTGATATTACAGTGAATTTTAGGTAAGATTTGTAAACAAAATCGATCGAGTACTGGATCAGGTAATGGATAGGTGGAATTATATGAGATCCATCTCATCAATGTTAAGCGATTTGTAAAAATTGAATCATGTACAATTGCATGGAGTCGTTTGTTAACACCTATTAGAGAGTACAATACTTGGACATTCCGCAGTTTTTTCAAAATAATCATGAGAATCTCATCAGGTAAATCATTTAATTCAACCAGTGAATGTTCCATATTTATTTTCATTTACAGATATGAATATATATATATGACGAAGTTGAATTTAAAATTCAGTTGTCTTAAAAATGCAACTAGTTGACTTTTCAATTTTAAAGTGAACTAGTCGACTTTAAAATTCAAAGGAGAACTAGCGATCTATCCTGATTCACTTTAAAAATTGAAAGTGAACTAGTTGACTATTCAATTTCAAAATTAACCATGGTTTATTTTGAAATCAAAGGTATCTAGGGATTCTAAAAAAATTTTCATTAAAATACTATAGAAAACTGTAGACATAATTACTATTTAAAGAGGAAAATTGATGCAATTGTTTCATGCGAATCTCAATGATATTAATGTTCGAAGTATATCTATTGATTACGATCTGAAAATCTATGAGTGTTAGATAGTCGAAAGCTTAGTTTTATAGTTAAACGTTCTTAGACAATGATCGACGCATCAATTATAACCGATGATTTTGCTTCTACAGATGGAGATTCATTTATCAAGAAGTCAATGGAGACGGGAATCAAGCGAAAACATACGATGATAACAGGTTTTCTGCATACTTTAGACATCTTTATAGTAAAAGTCAGTGATATCAAACAGCTGATGATTATCTCCGAAGGTTCTGAGTACGTTTATCGACTTTGTTAGTCTTACTGTCACATGCTAATTCACCTCGGTTGCATTTATCAATATAAAATACAGAAGCTACCTATTATGAAAAACTATAGTAAATGCGAGAAACAATTGAAAGTTTTGAAAACATGAAGTTTTTGAAAATTGCTTTGGAAATTTCTAATTACCATTTAAAAAATGAACTAACTATATCTTGTTCGTTGATCATTCTGTATATAAATCAACGTCCCTTTTTTTACATCTTCTGAAAGCGAAAAAACTATAAATTTCTATTGTATTTCAATGAAATTTTTTAAGAATCGTTAGATACCTCTAGTTGCAAAATAAACTATGGTTAATTTTGAAATTGAATAGTCAACTAGTTCACTTCCAAATTTTAAAGTAAACTAGGATGGATCGATAGTTCTCCTTTCAATTTTAAAGTCGACTAGTTCACTTTAAAATTGAAAAGTCAACTAGTTCTATCTTACTTGACTACTCAATCTTAAACTCAACTAGTTGACTCTTCAATTGAAAAGTCAACTAGTTGCCTTTTAAAGACAACTCCGACATATATATGCCAACTTAATATTTGACCGTGTCGTTATTCATCACCAATGAAAACAATGAAGCATGTTTCTATAATCACAATTCACAGGGAATGAAAAAATAGTATGTACACTGAGCCCGATGAGTTATCGAATCAATAGCAAATATATACAATTGAGGATGCTACAGGTCTAGACACTTTTTTCTCAGTTAATATTGAAAATGTTTGATCCAAAAAATTAATAAAAACACTAAGTAGGTGTTCATTTATCTAGCCCAAACGCTATTTTGGAGATTTTACTCGACAAAAGTGATATATGCTATAAAGAGGACGCTACAATCTCATCCTTGATCGCGTTTCGTATCATTACTTGCCACTTTTTAAACAAAATCTAAGAACACAGTTCGATAGAGAATAATTTTCTCTATCAAATGATACGGTTCATGTGCAGTTTAAGCACACCATCATATTCAATTAGCGTATTGCACACAGCAATCCAAATGACGGTGAGGACGAGAGTGTGCTTAAACTGCAGATGTGCCCAAAATAGAATGTCCGTCGCTGTTTTCCCAATAACTCAAGCTAGGAACGAGCTAGAAATCTACGGTTATCACCAATCGAAAGAGGAGACAAGGGGACATCTTTTTGTCCGACAGTGTATAAGACAAAGACATTTTAAAATCAGTCATTTCTACAAAACATCGAAAAAATGTAGAAAAACGGTCTCTCATTAGAATGAAATTTTGACAAAAAGTAAGAAGATTTAATTAAAAATTAAGAGAAATTCATATTTTTCGAGCGGGTAAATAGATGATTTTTTTGGTTAACAATAAGTTCTGTGGAGATAATCATTAGAACTATATCTTACACTATAGATCTGATTTTCCTCTATCTAGATCACATGTCAAAACCAAAATTTTCATTCGAATGAGGAACCGTTTTTCTACATTTTTTCGAAGTTTTGTAGAAATGACTGATTTTAAAATGACTTTGTCTTATACCGTGCCGGACAAAAAGATGTCCCCTTATCTCCTCTTTCGATTGGTGAAAATCGCAGGTTTTTAGCTCGTTCCTAGCTTGAGTTATTGAAAAAATAGCGATGGAGATTATATTTTGAAACGGATAATAGTAAAAACAATTTATGTCATCCATAAAGGAAATTTATTTTTTTTAATATTTCACAAATAAACATATGTTTTCTTAGAGTCGATTCTCTTATGTTTGTCTTAGTTACAGTTCATCCCG